TGTGTGTGTGTGTGTGTGTGTGTGTGTGTGTGTGTGAGAGAGAGAGAGAGAGACAGAGAGAGACAGAGAGAGACAGAGAGAGATAGGGACACAGAGAGAGAGTGCACCCCACCAGTTTTTTTTTTTAATATTTATTATTTTGTATTTATATGTATGTGTCTGTGCCTGTGTGGGCTTATGTGCATTATGTGCATACAGCTGTCTGGGGAGGTTGGAGAGCATCAGATCATTTGGAGCTGGTGTCATAGGCAGTTGTGAGTCACCAGATGTGGGTGCTGAGAACTGAACCCTGAACCTCTGGAAGAACAGCAAATGCTCTTATCCACTGAGCCGTGTCTCCAGACCTCCCACCAGTTTTTATAGGGTGAAAAGAAGAGAAGTTCCAGAGCAGGAACTGCACATACCAGCTCTGGTGGGAGCTCCAAATCTTCTTCTACATCCCAGCCACCTCCTTCTTCTTGTCCCTTGCCAAGAGCATCCTCTCCCAAACCTTCTGAAGCCTCCACAAATCCATCTATAAGGAAAATCCAGGATCAAAATAGATTTGGGTGGTAGCATACCCAGAAAAAAAGCAAAACATTAAGAATCTTATTGACTCTATTAAGAATCTTATTGACTCCATGAGTTAGAAGCTTACAGATTGCTCCACAGATAATTTCCTTCCATGGAGCCTATTATCTCAGAACAGTTCTAAACCAGAATTCTTACCTTCATCTAGCTGCAGTTCCGCATCCTCTCCCCAGCCTTCAGTACCAACAGTGTCAATGTCAATGTCAGCAGCCAATGCTCCTCCCTTCCCTATCAAAGGAAGGACAGAAGGGAGATGGTTAGAGACTAGCAAGTCTCAAGTCCCATCTCCTCTACAGGCAAGGTACATGCTTTCCAAAGCAGTTGCTCAGGGCTGTGTCCTCAGGAATATGTGCTGTCCACTTAGAAAGTGGTAACTCTGAATGTCAGTAAACATGTTTTATTGTATTAAGTCTCAAAACAAAAAATTCAAACAAAAAACCAACAATAATTGCAAAGGTTCTGTCCTGCTCTGCTCTGTCCATGCCTGTGTGTGTGTGTGTGTGTGTGTGTGTGTGTGTGTGTGTGTGTGTGTGTGTGTGTGTGTGTGTGTGTCAGTGTCTGCAATTCCAGTGCTGGGAATCCAAACTCTGGCCCTCATTCTTGCATGGCAGGTTTTGCCGCCTGAGCCATCTCCAAAGTTCCCATCCATATTATGAGTTATTGGTTTTGTTGGTATATATGCTGTGCTAACTTGCAATAGATTCTGCAGAGAGTTAATAGAAGAGATAACCAGACCCTGGGTTCAATTTCTGTTCAGGTAGGAGAGAATTAACTCCCTGTTACTAAAACCTGGCTATCTCTGGCTGCCTACTCTTGGAACTTCTTCCTGAAATCTCTGCTAAGTCACCATTACTGCAGTCTGTGCAGAGAATGAGGAGGCCGAGGAAAGAACGAAGCCAGACACAAAATGCCTCAAGTCTGCTTAGGCTTTTACATAAAGGCGAAGTAATGGAAATGTCCAAGCAAATAGGAGGGCAAGGATGGCAGTAAGCAGTGGTTGTCCATAGATACACACATAGCACATGATAGACAGGAAAACAATGAGTGGATATGACTGCATGTACGGTGAACTAGAGAAACACACCAAAGTGTTTACAGATGTCAGCAGCAGCACAGGCACCCACCTACATCATTTTCTAAATTCCTTTTTTTGGGGGGGTGGAGGAGGTGAGGGGTTAGGGCTAGAGAGTTGAGAAAGGGTTTCATGTGACCCAGCTTGACCTTAGACTAGTTATGTAATATGTGATGGCTGGCTTTGAACTCAACACTCTTCCTGCTTCAACTTCCTAATTGCTGAGATTCCAGGTGTATGCCACATCTGTTTCAATTTCTCTTTAATGATCTCAAAAAGCCTTTCCTCAGTTTGTGAGACTACATCCTACTCCTGGCTAGCCTTTCAGTGCTCTGTGAAACCTCACACAGAAAAAAGGAACAGATGAAACTGTTACTTACTGGTACTTTCTAAGATTGTTTTTAAGACATGTGTAGTCCAGGCTGTCCTAAAACTGACTATGTGGCCAAGGATGACCTTGAATTTTTGATTCTCTTATCTCTACATCCCTAGCTGGTATTACAGGTGTGTGTCAGTTATGTGCATAATGGCAGGGACTGAACCCAGAGTTTCATACACACTGGGAAAGTATTCTACTAACTGAGTACATACTCAGACCCATTGAGGATAGTTCTCTATAAAACAAGTAACAAGTGCTATAGGAGAAATGAGCACTTACCCTTGCTGGCAATGGAGCCTTCAAAGAACCCCTTGGACACAGTCAGTAAGGGCCAATTAGTATCCAACGGCATGATAGGTGCAGGCGGCTGGAGCAGCTTGGCATTAGGATCGATGTCTGGGATCTGAGAGGGAATAATAAACACGTTAAACATCAACAGCTCTATCATTCAGCTAAGGGTAGGCTGCTTTCTCTAGACAGCTTTAAGCCTCTCTCTGCAATTTTCTGGGAGAGTGAAATTCATGGTTTTAAATTATGTCAAGATGAGAATGAGTCGTTTTACCGGAGACACTTGTGTAAATACTCACTGTCTCCTTCTCGGGATCAAATGTTTCCTTCAGACTTTCAGCTTCTTCATCTAAGCCATGTGTAGCAGCTGTGAGATAGGCCAGGGACTCTAAAGAAAAAACAGGCTTTGTGGTATAAGTACTTTTCCAAGAGAATGCTATTTTGGTAGACTTCTGAGAGAGAGGGTGACCCCTATCTCCTAGTATCCAAATGCTTCCATATTACCCAACCATAAGTGCAGGCTCAAGTGGTTAACTAGCCTCTAATGGACAGAATATGTCAGAAGTGACGGAACGTCACAACCAAGATTAGCTTACAGTAATTGTGGATTCTATTTTGGGTGTCATCTTGTTTACCTGTTCTGAGGGAAACCAGGTGCCATGTTGTGAACTTGTGATAGAGAAGGTAACATGGCAAGATGACACTGTCCCTCAGACAAAGGGGAGCAAAGACCCAAGTAACAGCCACACCCATGAAGTGAGTGTGGAATGCACTCTTCTCCTGTTGGGTCTTATTTAAACATCTGAGTTCACTGTCACATCTTTTGCCACTTACTAGAAGTGTTATATTAGAGTCTATTATCAATTAAAACAAATTAAAAAACAATTATAATTTCGGTATCCTTTTTTTGGAAATTAGACCATGAATGTTTCAGATTTCAGAGATTTTCAGATTTTGTAACTTTTGCACAGAAATTACAGTAGGAATATCCTCATCTCCTCATCAGGAAATAGGAAATCTGGACCCTCAAGATGGCTCAATAGATAAGGGCTCTTGCCACCAACCCTGGCAGTCTGAGTTCAATTCCTGAAAGGAGAACCAACTCCCACAAGTTGTCCTTTAAATTCAGAAATTTCTTTTTTCTTTGGTTTTTCAAGACAGGGTTTCTCTGTGTAACAGCTCTGGCTGTCCTGGGACTCATTTTTAGACCAGGCTGGCCTCGAACTCATAGAGATCTGGTTGCTTCTGCCTCCTGAGTGTTGGGATTAAAGGTGTGCACCACCACCACCCGACTAAATTCAGAAATTCCTAAGCATGTATTGACATTTAAGAAGCTGGATTTTAGCTAGTATGTTCCAGACTAGCCAGGGTTACATATTATTTGGATTTTGGAGCAATTCAAATTTTGGATTTCATTTAGGAATATTTAACCTCTACTAAATTTTAAGGCAATTTTTTTTAAAAAAATTAAATTTTGTTGTTGTTGTTGTTTTGTTTTTGTTTTTGTGAGATAGAGTTTCTCTGTGTAGCCCTGGAAGGCCCGAAACCCCCTCTGTAGACCAGGCTGGCCTTGAATTCAGAGATCCACCTGTCTCTGTCTCCCGAGTGCTGGGATTAAAGGCGAGCTCCACCATTTCCCCAGCTCTGGGCTGGTAATTTCTTACAAAGCAACTAGTTCTTAATTAACCCAGTTACTTATATTTAAGCACCATCATCAACGCTAAGAACAACCTTGAACTTATCCCTGACTCCTCTCTATCACAGCCTATATCTACACCTAGTACTTAAATTTTTTTACTAGAGTTATTACATTTTATGTGTGATTGGCCTGCATGTATGTATGCACATCATGTGCACGCTTGGTGCTCATAGAAGTCAGAAGGCATTGGACCCCATGGAACTAGAGTTAAGTAGAGTTGTGAGGCCCCATAGAGGCACTAGGAACTGAACCCAGGTCCTCTACAAGAGCAACAAGTGTTCTTAACAGCTGACCCACCTCTCTAACCCCTTGTTTTTTGAGACAGAGTCTTATTCTTAGCCTGGGATGGCCTCAAACTTATGGAAATCCTCTTGCCTCACCGTCCTGAGTGCTAAGATTAGATAGGAGTCACCATTCCTAGAACTTGTTCCTTAATGGAGCTCAAATTCTAGCATAATATTTGGTATTCAGTGGGTTGTCAACAAACAATAGCAAGAACAAATCAAGTCCTGTAAAGAGCATGAGTCTAATCTCCACAGAGGAAGTTAAAGAAGCACCAGGACTCCTTGTCTGGCTCCACCACCATTTGGTTTAGAAGAAAAATTTTAAACATAGTATCATACAATGTGAAAAATGTACAATAAAGGGCAATTCCCAAAAAAGACTTTTCAAGGTGTCAAAGGACTTGGTGAGTCCTGGATAGATACTTACTCTGTCCACAGTTCTTCAGGATTCGCACCCTCTCTGACACATCACCCAGGTACAGGGCATTCTGATAATGGCCACTCATGTCCTTTCGGATCTCAGCTGCATCAAGTCAACGAGAAACCAACTTAAGCCTTCTTGCTAAAGACCTCTCTCCTTTATTTACCTTCCTCCTTCCCCCAAGTCCCACACTTCCCAATCTTAGTTTTAGGGAACTCACCAATCTTCATCATCTTGCGAAGTTTCTCCAGGTTGCCGGTAATAAGGTACAAGAAGGAAAGTTTGTCGAAGTTTTTGGTACGCTGATAGCACATTTCTACTATCTGGTGATTGCCCTGCAGCAGGGCCACTTCTCCCAGCTTCTCCCAGCAGTTCTTGTCATCCAGGGCTTTGGCTGCTTCTAGAGCAATCTGAAGAATTCCCGTGGTCAGCGTTTAGAGTGGGCACTATGACTCAAAACCAGGGGAGTCCATCAAAGCATTTGTCTCCAAAATCTCCCAAGGATTCTCTATACTTGCAATCACTACTTCCACTCTATTTCTATCAGGAATTCTGCGTACAATGAGACTGGAGCACAGATGGAGACTCACACCATTGTGCTCACCCTCTGAGTTTTCCCTGCACAGTCCAACCACCTATCAGTTCCACAGTCCACAGAGACAGCCCTTGCTGTGCTGTCCTATTTCCTATCCAGAGGAAATAAGGGAAGAAACGAGACGCAGCTGGAAAAGCAGCTCTCCTAAGTCCTTTCCTCCTGAAACAATGCCCGTGCCCTCTGGGTCTCAACATTTCATAAGGACTTTATCCAGCAAGATCAAGCATCAAGGAAAACAAACAGATTCTTCAGATTTCTTACTATCTTACTTCTATACTAGAAATTATTTTTTTTCTTTTTTATTGTTTTTTTCCAGACAAGGTTCCTCTGTGTTTCAGTCCTGGCTGTCCAGGAACTTGCTTTGTAGACCAGGCTGGCCTTGAACTTGGAGATCCATCCGCCCCTGCTTCCTAAGTGCTGGGATCAAAAGGTGTGTGCCACCTTGCCCAGCTTAGAAATTCTTAAATTCAGTTCGAAAACAGTAACAAGAGGCCATTTCCTGGGAATCCAGGAGTGGACTTGGCCAGAGTTCATCCTCCTGGCTAGTATTTGATTAAAGCTTGCTTCAAATCTGACCAAAAGAAAAAAAGAAAAAAAAAAAAAGGAAAAAGAAAATAGTCACAAGAGTGGAAATACTGTGTCAGAAGAAGAGACAGGAAGAAGCAGAAACAGAAACAATGATAGGAAAATGGCTCAATTTAACTAAAACCATCCTAAATTCCATTCTGGTAAGGCACAAGCCCAGGATAACACTTCCTGGAGACCAGCCTGACATCTAGCATCTACTAAGTGACACTGACTCTAAGCTTCTCCCTTTCTCTACAGCTTTCTGGGACAGACAGCTGTATATTCCTCTCACCTCTATGTTTCCGCACTCCAGAGCCAGGCTGAAGCGAGTTTTCTCATCCTTTACAAAATGCAGGGCCACTTCCGGATAACCCTTCTTCTGGAGATAGGCAATGATTGACTGGCCGACCAGCTTGGCGTTCCTCACCATGTGCAGCACCTAGACGTTTGGTTTGGGAGGCAGGAAACAGATTGCTTACAAGGAAAAGGTGCACTGCCTCTCACACTTTTTGTGAGGTTTCCTTGCTTCCTACCTCATCATACTTTCTGTTGATCAGGGCCAGCTTGAACTTGAACTCAGTGGGGTCGATGGTGAGCACCCGAGGCCGACACTCCCTGTCCAGGCAGTAGACATTGTTGCCCTTCACTCTTGTGACATAGATGGGTAAATCCAGAGTCCGGATGATGCCGTGGTCCCTAGGAAGAGGGGCAGAAGGCACAATTCAGGAAGCGAGAGGACAGTCTTTTCTTGTTAGCCTTTCTTTCATCAAGCGCTACTTAAACTATGGTACAGATAGACAGAAGTGTTTCAAATTGATTTTATTCTTCTCTATGACAGAACAGATGCTATGTACTTTTTATTTTTATGTTTTGCAGTATAAGAGATTGAAGCTAGAGCCTTGGGCATTCTAGGAAAGTACACTACCATTGACAGCCTCCTTTAAAAAATAAAAAAATCATTATAATGTACGTGGGCATGATGTGGTGTAGAAATGTGTGCTGCAATGCATGTGTGGAAGTCAGGACATCTCTGAGGAGTCAGTTCTCTCCTTTCACCTATATGAGGGTTCTGGGGTCAAACTCAGGTTGCCAGGCTCACATATAAAGCATTTTTTTAAACCTGCTGTGCCATCTCACTGGTCCCTCCAGTCCTTTATAATTTTTTCCTAAGTTTTGAGAATTTTTTTGAATGTATTTTTTTTGAGAATGTATATGCATGTTTGTATGCGTATACAATGTGTGGTGGTGGGGGGGAGTTGGAGGAATCTGGAGATTGAACTCAGGTTGTCTGGCCTGTGAGAAACTGCCTCTACCCACTGATGCATCACACACACACACACACACACACACACACACACACACACACACACACAGCCACATACACACACTGCACCCCCCTCCTCCACGAATGTCTTTAGCACACATATATACCCTATTAGTTTTTTCATGGAGAATGTTAACAGAGATCTGCAGTTATATCTCTTGAGCTAGCACAGTGATTTCAAGAAGACACCTTCTCCTACTATGTCCCAGAGAATTAACTTACCCAGTGGTGACGGCATATTTGATGTGGTTGCTTGTGGTATAGATAAACACCCCACTCTCATCCCAGGCCCCACTCTTGACACGAATGTTCTCATGAATGTTACACAGAGCATCCAGCTTGCGGTTACAGATCACAATGGCTGTAAGAGGCAAAGGGCATGAGTGCTCTGTTGGACAGGGTGAGTGCAGAAGACTGGCAGGGGGAAGTGGGCTCTAAGACGGTGGATATAATGAAGTCTTACCATGTTTGGCCAGCAGCGCTACATGAGACATGTCTGCTGACCAGATAACATATTTCACCTTGGAAATCTTCACTGATGCTAGAGTCCTGGGATAGCAAGAGAAAGGTAATCACAAATGGGCCTAATCCCTTGTCTCAAGCTATGACCTATGTCTTTTTCCATCTTTAATTAATGTAAAACTCAACTTCTCAATGTAACACCAAGGGAACATTGCCTACACTGTAGGTCAGTGAGCTCAAATGTTTCGGCTCACACTCTGCACTGCCCTTCCTCATTCTTTGTCCCCATCCCTCCTATAGGCACTTACATCTATCAGTTTCACCACTAGAATTACAAAATCCCTTAAGAACAGGAGCTGTGCTATTCACCTTTGTGTCCTTCCCATTCTAAGACCTGAAAGCACTCTTTGTCCAGATAGGCACTATAAAATACCTAAGTACACAGCCCCTTTCTATCCTGCTGGAGTGCATGCACAGGGTGGGAGAGGAGCCACGGAGGGGAAAGAGGACTGCCAACAGTCTTAGAGTTAAGTGTACAACAAGCAGCTAGGCCACACGCAAGCTTAGGAAAAAAGCTCCTATGAAATATTTCTACTCTCCCTCACTACATCTCTGTCTGTCAGGGGCATCTGTCATGTTACCGCTTTTGCTGGACATCAAAGAGTGTAATGGAATCTGCATCCCGAAGCAGGAGGTTGCCAGTGCCAGCATAGAAGATTTCATCACAGTTGGGCACCTGGATTTTTTTGGTGATCTCATTCTTCAGATTCTTTATCAGAAGCTGAAATGAGTACAGGTGGCGTTGCGAGAAGTGAATGGATAAGGTAATAGCTAATGATGTCCCTCAGCAATTGTTCCTTCAATGAAGAATTTTTTCCCTGTCCAAGTCATTTATACATCAGGTTGATCACTTCAAGACTGTCTCCAGGGCCTTATTATTAACCTCTGTCTTTTTTCTCTTTTTCCTTCTCCAACTCCCTCAACATTTATTTATTTATAAAACTCGTGTGTGTGTGTGTGTGTGTGTGTGTGTGTGTGTGTGTGTGTGTGTGTGTGTGTACACATATATCATGGTGTCCATGTGTGGGGGTCTGGGGGACAAATTGAAGAAGTCAGTTCTCTCCTTCTACACATGGGTCCCAGGGACTGAATTTAGGTCATCTACCTTGGTAAGGGTCCTTACCCACTGAGACATCTCAATGGCCTCTAACCTCTCTCTTAAAAAAAAAGAAACCATAAGAGGCTGGGCCAGGACTACAGACCCTGTCGGGGCTACAGAGAAAGTTCATCGCCACTCTACTCAGATCCTCACTAGTCTTAGTGAGATCCTCAAAATTACACAACAAATAAAGAAAAAAGTTAATTATAGTGGCAGAGCATTTACCTTGCATGAACAAGACCCTAAATTCAACCCCCAGGACTTAAAAATCAACAGACAACAAAAAAAGCTACTCACCTAAATCTGAGTTTCTTAATCAGTTAGAAAGAAAACAGCCAGGAATTAAGCTTTAGTTGAGTTTTTTATTGGGAAATCTTTGCTATCTATCTACCTATCTCTCTCTCTCTACCCACCCACCCACCCACCCACCCTCTCACCCACTCATCTATCTATCTATCTATCCATCCATCCATCCATCCATCCATCCATCCATCCATCCATCCATCCATCCATCCATCCATCTATCTATCTATCTATCTATCTATCTATCTTGAGGCAGGGTTTCTCTGTGTAGTCCTGGCTATCCTGGAACTTGTTCTGTAGACCAGGACTCCAGGACTACCTCAGCCTTAAAGGTGTGTGTCACCATGCCTGACTCTCTAAACTTAATACATTTTAAATACCAATAAGGGGAGTGGGACAGGGAGGAAAACCTGTGTATATGAACAATATAAATATACTTAAAGTCTGATGGTCTTAGCTCCTCTAAATTCAGAAGCCCAGAGCCCCAGTAACCTCAACCCAATCAAATCAACTTGTCCTCCCTAAGGGATTAGTCTAGGGTTAGAGGGAGACCCAGTGCCCAAGGATCACAGTGCTCTTTACTGTGCACTGCCATCATCCTCCCTAACTTGGTTTCCACTTTTAGCCGTAACTCACCGAATGCATGCGATCTAGGACAGCAAACCGATTCCGAGCAACCCAAACCGCTGTCAGGCCTGAGGATCGTTTCCCTTCAGGGGCTGAAGAGAACAAAACCAAAGTGTGGGAGCATGTGGTGAGCCACTAGCAGGTGACAGAGTCAGGTGCCATGGAGCTGCCATTTTGGCTTCGCCAGTTCAGCTGCTTCCTAACTAATTCAGCCATAACCTCAGGCTACTGTCAGGGACTTTTCCCCACCAGTTCCCTCCAAACTCCAGCCCCCACCCCTGCCAAGCCTCTTATCTCTAGGCCAAGTGGCTGCATTTCAGCCAGCACCACATACTGGCAGAAATGCTGCCCATCTTGGGAGACAGCACACTCCATCAAGCTAACGAGCAGGGCCTTCCTGGCCAAGCTGAGGCACAGCGAGCAGCCTGTCAAAGTCTCAGCCCTCCTATCTACACAGGCTGGAGAAGTGACAGAACCCCACCCCAGGACGCAGCTGCTCTGCTGCTTTTAACATGCTAATGCCGGCCCCCTAGTCGGGCAGGGTGGGACATGGCACTTCCAGCTAAATCTTGACAGGCTCAGTGCTGGGCAACACAGCATCAAGCTGTTGCTCTGTGAATGTCAATTCAGCATTATTGCCCTGAGGAGAGTCATAAAATGTTCCTCAGTTTGCAGCTGATTAGAATTTTGAAATGGATACTCTACTCTCTGAGAAACTTGTAAAGAATATATTCAAATAGTCTTATCTGTTATACCAATGGAAAACAACAACATGCTGGCCAGCCTTGCTTTGTACTTTTCTGGTACCTAGAATGCCAAAGAATTTACAAAACAAGTTTTTACCACAACCCATACTACTCCAGCTTCTGCATTCTCTGGTGTCTACCACTGGACCACACCTTTATAATCATTATCCTCTTAAAGGATAGATAACAGAAGTTCTACTGATTGTTAACAGGTATTTAGTTAGGGGGGAGGCTTAGCTGACTAATTTGTGAGGGAGATTTTACTTTATGGATCCCAAATATATAGTTTTCCTGTTTCTCTCATCTCACCCTGAGCACATTTAAAAGGGTAAAATGAGTTGGCATAATGTGTAATTCCAGTACTAAGGGGAACCATAAGTTCTAGGCCAATCTGGGTTATACAGTGAGACCTTGTCTCATACACATACACACTCCCTCCAAAAAACAAAACAAACAAAAGAGAGTATTACAATAACAATGACCTGCTGGAACTCACAAAAGGGACAGACCTAACAAAATTTTTCTCAGAACTTTGGAGGACATAAAATATCAAAATGTACTAGTAAAAGGCAGGGTCTGTGCAATAAACTTTAGACTGGGTAAGGCCTGTAAATCCACTGGAAGAACTGCACTGCAAAGAGCATAAATGAGATCCCACTCCACTCTGAGAATGGTTTGTCAGCAAGTTCTAATAGTAAGGACATCAACAAAGGATGGTGGTGATGAAAGAGGCAGGCAGGGGTCTCAGCTGGATCCTGGGATCCCAGGTGGGTCATGGGGCTGTTAGCAGCCTCATCTTTTTGACATGCAAAAGGAAGCAAATCGGATCTGGATATAGATGGGCGAGAATAAATCCCCAGTCCCAGGATGAGACATTGTAAGACTGGAGCCACATTTTTAAATAAATGAAACTACCAGGGTGAAAGTCATATCAGCTGACAATAATCTAGGATAACATGCTGTGCTGAAAGAGAAAATGGAGAGTTTCTAATAACCAAATTATAAAATATATATATCTAGCTGGGGTAATAAAATGGAGGCAGAACATGAATATTTCACACTACAATTGCCTCTGGTGCAACTGTCAGCAGCACCTGCCAACAGACATGAGTGATGTAGCCACGGCCTGCGGATGGGATGAGAAACTTGAAAAGAAGTGATGATACGGGCGAGGAGAGCTGGAAGCAGAGCGGAGGAGACGAAGAGCACCTACCATCAGGATTCTGGGAGTCTGCATCTTTGGGGATGGTGTAGAGATCGTAGGTACTATTCTCTAAATTGCTTGCTCTCTGTAGGGGGAAAAAGGGAAACGTGTTTAGCGAGCGGCACTGAAGACAGTTTTTTTTCTGACAGAGAAAACTGCAACACAGGCAACACTGAACGTACACTTCCAATTACCTGCACCCAGAGGGTCCTTGAGTTATTCCCCTATGTAAGAATTATAATGCTCTTAGCCAAACAAACAAGCACCGATGGCACTATTCTCATTATCCTCTAAAAATGCAGATATTATCAAATGCAAACAACAAAGATTTCTCTCTATTCCACAAATTAAAAGATGAGGAACCTGGTGCCTCATCTGAATATACTTGTCAACTTAAAAGAAAAGGAAAACAAAACAGATCTAAGAAGACATTTAAGGAAACTGTCATGAGAACATGGCAGTGTTAGGTACTAAAAGACCAAGATTATGTATAAAAAGCTATATAGGGAAAGCAATTTTCATTCAGCCACCAGGATACTAAAGTCAGAATGCCATTTCTTCATTTTTTTTTTTCAAATTGTGTGGCAAGAAACAGGGAGGGCCCCGATATTTTGGAAGGTGACTTCGCTAAAAAGAACCAGCTTTCCAACACAGGTTTTCTATGTTCACCTGAGCAGAAGGGACAGAAAAGGCGCCTCCTGTGCACAACAAACAATTCCAAACATTCCTCTGACCACTTCCCAAACCTTTAATAGGTTTACAACAACTGAAGCCATTTAGTGTGAGCCTCTGAGTGTCCACTGGCTTAGCTCTTACAAAAGATCAATTAAGAGAACCACCAGGAAGAGACAACCTAACTAACAGGTGCCTACATATTTAATTTTCAGTACTGGGGAAAAGGGCTTTTAAGAGGCCATTAGAGGCCAGGGGGATCTCTGTGAGTTTGAGGCCAGGCTGGTCTACAGAGTAAGTTCGAAGACAGCCAAAGATACACAGAGAAACCCAGTCTCAAAAAACCAAAAGATGCCATTAGAGGCTCTCTAAGGGCAATAAGATACTTAGACAAACTGAGAAGAACCTAGAGAGACTCCATAATTACTTACAGTGCACAGTAGGACTGCATTTTCTGCTGGATTGTATGACATGTTGAACACTGGAAACTTAGAACCACTACAATAAAAAAGGAGGAAATAGAATAGGTATAAGAATAGAAAAGAAGAATTATCCCTTCAAAGTCCAGTATACATACACTCACTACTTCTATACTAAGGAAAAACAGATACTCTTTCCCTTAAAACTCGACTACTTAATAGTTCAAATGGCAAAGAATAGTACAAGCCACATTTTCATCAGAAGGTGGTGAGTGGTGATAGTTTTGCCTGGTACAAATTCCTATGCATAATTGCAATGGACACCAGTGTGGCATGATGTGATTTGATTTCTCTGCCTGTTTTCTTCTGTCCCTGGGATTGTTCACATAAACCCATCTTTTTGTCACAGTGGAACTAGCGGGTGGTTATCAAGCCTGCATGCCAGTGTTTGCTACCATGAATGTTTCAGCATGATGCAGCTGGCATTCAAAGCACAGTTCCTTTGGCCAGGCATCCCAGAGGTTATATCTTCCAGAGACACAGTTCTGCTTTTTAGGGATGCAGCATTTTGCTGTAAAGGTAGAGTTCTGATAAACTGTAACTCTTCTAAAAAAATCATTATTTTCTTATTATTCTGAACTGTAGACATTTAGGTCTATCACTCTACTCTGCCACAAGGTTGCTCAAGGCATTAATGACAAAGGCTAAAACTTATATTACCAAATTGGGATATTCTCTAGCTAGGAGCTTTCTGTGATCTGCAAGAGATTTTGCAGACATTAGTAGGAAAATATCTATGGCACAAGGCCACTAGCAGTCCCAATAGGGGACCTCCCATTCTCCTCATGGACACCTCTGCATCTGCCATAATGGGATTTAAACTGAGGAGGTTTGTTCAGTGGGAATCCATATTTGATAGAGAAGACATAAAAGGCTGGTTAAAGAGCCCTGCTTGAGGAAGTGCAACAGATGAAAGGGTTTAGAAGAAGAAATAAGTCAGACTTGCCTCCTCAGTTGCATCACAGCTACATCTTTGGAGCTGTTGAAATCCAGCTGACGTAGGAATCGGTCCTTTACATAATGCAGCATATTGCCATGCACAGCATAGGCTGGACGCTCACGTTCCAGCTTAAACACAATCATCCCACCATCATGGCCTAGAGAACAGAGAGAAGAGAGGAAACAACCAGCTGTAGGCAAAAGGACTGCTAGAAATAGGAGATACACAGAGGAATATATTCACATGCTAAAAGGGTAGGGGGCATCTACTACAGTGTGGAGATGAATTGTGCTTCAAGGGTTCACAGGTAGAATCTTGGTGTGAGATGCTGAGGTAGTAGAATCTTTAAGAGATGAGGCTTAGTAAAATGTTACTAGGTCATTAGAGAAGCACCCTGGGATTCATGTTCTTGCAGGACCCTGGTCAGTAACCTGGGGAGAATGCTGCTATACAAAGAGTACCCTGAATTCTCTCTGGATTTCCACCTGGTCATGTGATCTCTCCCTCTTGAACACTCCTATCATGATGCTGTGTCATACTGTGATTGAGCCAAAGGAACAGTCATCAAAGGACAAATAGCTGGGCTGCTCAATCTTGGATTTTCAACCTCTTTAACGGTAAATAAAAGAAACACCTTTTCTTTTTCAGATCTATTTATTCTTATTTTATGTCTACATGTAAGTACCTGCATTCGCATTATATGCACATTGTGTATGCCTGGTGCATGAGGAAGCCAAAAGAGGGTGTCAGATGCCCTGGAACAGGATTAACAGGCAGTTTTAAACTACCATGTGGGTGCTGGGAATGGAACCTTAGTCCTCTGTAAGAGTAGCAAGTGCTCTTCACCCATGAGGCATCTCTCCAGCCCAATCTCTCTTTTTTTAAGTACCCAGTGTGAAGAATTTTGCTACAGCTATAGATAACAGGATAATATAACATCTAAATGCATTCCTAAACTCTCACAATTCTTAGAACCTTTTTCCAAGTAATTTTCTGTCACTCATCTCCTTGCCCTTTCTTCTTGAACCCAGGACCTCATACAAGCTAGGAAAGCACTCTACCAGTGAACTATATTCCCAGCCCTGTCAGTCTTCTTAATATTATTTCATAATACCATATTTAAATACATTCTTCTGTGTGTTCTCTGAAGGCAGAATTTATATTATTTTTTCATTCTTCCTAGTCCTTAGCAAATAAGAAAATCATAAAAACTATCTGCTTAAAAAAGTGAATGTTGGGCTGGAGAGATGGCTCAGTGGTAAGAGCACTGGCTGCTCTTGCAGAGTACCTGGGTTCAATTACCAGCATCTGCATGTCTACTCACAACTGTCAGTAACTACAGTTCCAGTGGATCCAACATCCTCATGCAGACATGAATTCAGACAAAACACCAATGCACATAAAATAAAATTAAATAAAATCTCTAAAAGAAAATGGATGTTAACTTTTTTCTACACTTATTTGTTCACTGGGCGAGGGCACATCATGATATATATATATATATTACAGAGTCAGTTTTCTCCTACCCGGTGGGTCCAGGCTTATTGGCAAGCACTTTTACCAGCTGAGCCATTTTGCCTTCACATGAAAGTTGACTTAAAAAGCCTTCATGAAACAAGTAAGTAAATTTAAAAAACACAACAAGAACCTTTTTGTTTCGTTTTTTTGAGACAGAGTCTCTCTACATAGTACTGGCTATTCTAGAACTTACTCTGTAGACCAGGCTGGCCTCGAATCCAGAGATCCTCCTGCCTCCACCTCCTGTGTGCTGGGATTAAAGGCATGGGGTACCATGCCCAACGTAATAACAAAGCTTTTATAATTGCTTTTAAGAAAATGTTTCCAGGTGGTAGTGGCACACGCCTTTACTCACAGCACAGTGGAGGCAGAAGCAGGCAGATTTCTGTGAGCTTGAGGACAGCCAAGGCTACACAGAGAAATCCTGCCTGGAAAAACAAAAAAACAAAAAACAAAAAAACAAAAAACAAAATACAAAAAAAAGTAAAAATAAAAGTTTGTACTTTTCTGATTAGCATCATTCACCCCTTAAATAATCTCATTTTTATATTTCAACTGCCTGCCCACATATAAGCCAGCTTTATTTTCATACTCAAAGTCTTCCAGTGACTTCTTCTAAAAACTTGATTTTTTTTTTAAATTTTATTTTTCTGTGTACGAGTGTTTTGCCTGTATGTATATCTGTATACCACATATGTACCTCCAGAGGTCAAAAGAGGGCATCTGATCCTCTGGAACTAGAGTTATGGATGATTGTGAGTCACTGTGTGGGTGCTGGAAGCCAAACCCAGGTCCTCTCCAAGAACAAGAGCTCTTAACACTGAGCCATCTTTCTAGCCCCTTTCCAGGGGCTTTTAATTCATTCTGAATAAACTTTGTTTACTTTTGAGGAAGGGTTTTTCTATGTAGACCAGGCTGGCTTTGAACTCACAAAGATCCACCTGCCTCTGCCTCCCAAGTGCTGGAATTAAAGGCATGTGCCACCACTGCCCAGGCAGAATAAAATATTAAGCTCTAGACACTGTTGTGGAATATTAATTTAAGATGTGTTACATTTCTTTATACTGTGGAATATTTGTTTAATGATGCAAAGATTTGTGGCATTCTTTTTTTGTTTGTTTGTTTGTTTGTTTGTTTTCTCTGTGTAGCTCTGCGCCTTTCCTGGATCTCGCTCTGTAGACTAGGCTGGCCTCGAACTCACAAAGATCCACCTGGCTCTGCCTCCTGAGTGCTGGGATTAAAGGCATGCGCCACCACCTCTCGGCTGTGTGGCATTCTTTTATGTTGCATTTGTTTAACTCTGTGAAGCTATGTTACTTTGCCTGTCTAAAACACCTGATTGGTTTAATAAAGAGCTGAATGGCCAAGAGCTAGGCAGGAGAGGAATAGGTGGGGCTGTCAGGTAGAGAGAATAAATAAAAGAAAAAGAGGGAGGAGTGAGAAAAGAAGGAGAGGAGGATGTCAGGGGCCAGCTACCCAGATACACAGCCAACAACAGAGTAACAAGTAAAGAAAGACATATAAAATAGAGAAAGGTAAAAGCCCAGAAGCAAAAGGTAGAGGGATGATTTAAGAAAAGCTGGCTAGAAACAAGCCAAGCTAAGGCTGGACATTCCCAAGTAAGAATAAGTCTTCATTTATTTATTTGGGAGCTGGGTGGCAGACCCCCAAAGAGCAAAGAGTAAAAAAAAAAAAAACAACCAACTACAAGCCATAGCCTGCAAAATCTGATGTAGTCTTACTTCCTACTACTTAATGCCACTGGCATCTCTAATATTCCCCTACCATGCTAGGAACTTCTCTTTTTTTTTATCCATTCCATGTTCTTTGCCTATAACAGTCTTTCTTCTCATTCATTCTTGTGAACACTCAGTCTCAACCAGGAGTACACACACTGTCATCACCTTCCTTTTTGCTTCATTTTTGTTCAGAGCATTTTCAAACACACATCACTTTATATACTTACTGTTTATAGTTTATTTCCCTTAAAGCTCAATCAAGACAGGGACTCCTTTTTTTTTTATTTGTTTGTTTTTTTGAGACAGGGTTTCCAGGAGCCTGTCCTGGAACTCACTCTGTAGACCAGGCTGGCCTCAAACTCACAGAGATCGGCCTGCCTCTGTCTCCAGAGTGCTGGGATTAAAGGAATGAGCCACCATGCCTGGCAAGACAGGGACTCTTTTATGCACTGCTTTGACACCAGCACCCAGAGTAAGGTCTGATATTTATAATGTATTTGACAAACAAATGAATTAGACTTGGCTTCTAGTTTCTCAGTCTGAGAACTCTATGTGTTCAATACAGTCTCCTAGGAGCATCTCCAAGTGAATGAGCTGAAGGTTAAACAGATCTGGGTAGAGAAAAACACTAAAGAACACCATCGACCAAGAGTAAGAGAGGTAAAAATGAGAAGAATTTCAACTAAGTGGCTCTGAGAGTTCTGCTTCTTTTCGTCATTCTAAAACCATGTACTGGAGACAAAGCCAGTGGAAAATCACTTTCAAACCTTACAAACGTTTAACTAAATCAGAGGGGTAGGAGGAGACATGGTCTTTACCTGCTGCAAACAGGTTAAGGTTGGGATGAGCAGCTAGGACCCAGAAACGATCATGATCCCTGCGGAAAGTCTGAACCCCAGTCCTAGGAAACGAAAACGTACACAAAGAAAACTGTTAATTAAGAATCTTCAGTACATCATACACAAGAAGACTGAACAGGAAGCATATAAGCTGACTTTAAAAGTGCATCAGGCACAGAAAACAGTGTAAATGAAGTTATGTATCAGGATACAGTCTTCTTCAAACGAATCCTTTATTGTGACTTGTCAGTTTCTTCCTTATCATTTTCTACTGTACTTTCATCTCACAATTCTTACCTCCTTAGCTAAACATTCAAGATAAGGAAAAAACCCAGACAAGTTTAGAGAAGAAAAAGAAAACATGGAGAGTTCTATCTAATAAATGTGTTGATATTTCAGTCTTCAAGGTCTGTTTGCTTGTTTTTTATAGTAGTGGGTATTAAATTTAGAGCCTCATGCACTATAAGCAAGCATTTTTTACCACAAAGAATTATACCCTTCAAATTTTCATAATGTAGGACTTGATTTTTCTTCATGCTAAAGAGAAAAAAGAAATATTCTAACTTTTCGATTTTCTTTTTAAAACAGTATTATTGTATAAGATGTGTGTGCACATGGCTTACTCGTGTGGAAGTGAGAGGACAACTTTTGGGAGACGACACTCTTCTATTGTAGGTTCAGGGATTAAAGCATGCCATCAAGCTTGTATGGAAAGCTGAGCCATCTCACTGGCCTTTTTTTTGAGACTGGGTCTTAGGTAGGAGGTTGGCCTCCTACTCACCATATAGCAGAAGTTGACCTGACCTGATGATCCCCTTGCCAACACCCAAGTGCTGACATTACAGGTATGTGCTACCATGGCTGGTTTCTAATCTGATTTTCAAAGACAGAGAATAAGACAGAGAAGGGACCTGCTCTTGAGTTTGGTCACATAACATAATTTCCTTACCGCTTAGACATATCCCAGACTCGAATACTCTTGTCCTCAGAATTGCTGAGGATCAACTCTTGGCGAGGGTGGAAAACAGCACAAGACACATTGTTGTAATGGCCCCGGCAGGTGTCAACCTCCCATGCCTTTGATTCTGAAGAACAAAGGAATTATCACAATTCTATGTAACTCTGGGATCTATAAAGCCAACATCCTTAAAAAAAAATTTTTTTATTTGTATTTTTAATTATGTGTGTGTATCTGTGTGTGGGTTTGTGCATCTAAGTATAGTGCCTGTGGAGGCCAAAAGGTGGCACTGGATCCCCAGAGCTGGAGTAACAGGTGGCTGTGAGACACTCGATGTAGATGCTAGAAACCACAATCAGGTCTTCCACAGGTCCACTGAGCTGTCTCTATAGCCCCAATGTTTCGAAGAGACAAAGTTTTGCTATGTGGCTCAGGCTGGTCTTGTACTTGTGATCCTCCTGCTTCAACCTCATACATGCTGAAACTGCAAGGATATACTGCCACATGATCTATAGCTAGCTGTGATACTCTTACAAGTGCTAAGAACTACTGCAAAATACTAATTTTTCCCCAAATGGTGCAAAGTTTTTTGTGTAAGTCACTTCTTTTTTATGTATTTTGTTTGTTTGTTTTGTTTCATTTTGTTGTTAGTTACTCTGGCCCCAACACCCTCTTTTTTGAGGTGACACCAAGTTTTTTCGTTGCATAGGCTGGCTTTGAACAACTAGGAACAAATAATCCTACAGACTCAGCCTCTTGAGTAGCTGGAGCTACTATCACATGCTATCTCAGCTCTAAGTTTCCTAGTTTTGCTGTACATTTCTGTTCTTTTATTCTGAGCCCCTACTGACTGCAATACCTATATTAAAAAATTCTTTATGCTTTTATTCTATTTTATCCTCTTGGTATATGTCATTAGCTGACATTTTAGAACAATATAAACTCTATAGCATGGAGTTTTCTAGTCACAAAAATATAAACAGAGTCCTGAACACAATCTAAAAAAAAGTTACTATTTGTCAAATGCTTGCATTTGCATTTTTACTCTTAACTATGCTCATGTCTCTCAAAATCAGGTAACAGTCATGGGGGAGAATGGAAGAGATAATGACTATGGACTTAGAACTAGCAGGAAATAATCACTTAAGGCCAGAAAACAGATCAAAGTCAGAGAACCTGGCTACTTTCCCTTGCTGGCCAGCGGTCACTTTCTTGGATATGGCAACACCGCCGCCACCTTACTCACCATTCATGCGCCAGATCTTCACTTGCCGGTCGTCTGCCCCAGATACAATCAGGGGCATAGTGGGGTGGAAGGCAGCCCAGTTTACTCCACGATCATGACCCTGTTAAGAAGAAAAGGTGGGTCTTCCAAAACAGCTTTAGAGACACAATTCACAGCAACCATGTTGGTGGTTTCTTTTTCTGCATATGGGCACTCTAATTCGGGGCCTTGCACATGCTAAGCTAGCACCCCACTACGGAGCTATTCCCCAGCCCTCTGAAACACTCTTCAAGTCAAGACTCAAGGGACTGTGCCACTGTAAAGATCATTTGCTGTTGTTTTATTTTCATTTGATTTGGTTTTTTGAGACAGGGTCTTGTTGCATAGACTGAGCTGGGTTTGAACTCCAGACCTTTCTGTTTCAGTCTCCTGGAGTACAGATATACGGCATTATACCTGGCTTATTGTAAAGGTCTGGACATTAGAATAACCATGTCAATCTGTCCACTACTACTTCAAAGTCTCATGGGTCATTCCGAAGATTTCCACCAGGAATTGTTTTATTTGTATCTAGGATGTTTTACCTTCCTTTTGACTTGTCTATGCATGTTTTATTTCTCTAAGTAATTGTAACATCTTAAGTATAAAGACCTATTTTATAAGTTAATGCAGAAGTTTTCAAAGTATGATCTGGAATCCCTTGGAAGAGTTCCAAGATCCATCTGGAAAGTCTGTAAGTTCAAAGCTATTTTCCTAATCCTAAGACTTTATTTGCCTTTAGTGTTATTATCTATGTTTTCCATAGGATACATGATAGGTAAAGACATCAGTGTTCTGACAGCTAATGAGATGTATGCTGACAAAGTCCATATTGTTAAAGGTTCTCAGTTTTAGGCTGGGGGTGTAATTCAATGGTAGAGCATCTGCTTACTGTGTGCAAGGTACCAGGTTCAATTCCTAGCACAAAAATAAATAAATAAATGAAGGAAGGAAGGAAGGAAGGAAGGAAGGAAGGAAGGAAGGAAGGAAGGAAGGAAGGAAAGAAAAAGAAAACAAAACAAAAACAAAAACAAGGGGCTGAAGAGATGGCTTATAAGCTAAGAGTACTGACTTTTCTTGAAAAGGTCCCAGGTTGGTTCCCAGCAACCATATACAACTGCTCATAACTGCCTACAGCTCCAGTCCCAAAGGATCTAGTGCCCTGTTCCAGTCTCTGAAGGCATTCATATGATACAGATATATTTGCAAGTAAAACACTTTTTTAAAAAAACTGTTTTATTTCAAGTATGGCTAAAATTGACAGATATAACACACAAATAAACTCTTTGGAATTCTTATGAAAATTTAAAAGAGTATAAAGACAAAAAGTTTAAAGATGATGACTTCAAGATAGCCTCTACTCTATTTACATAGCTGTACTTCATTGTTTGATGGAATTATGGATAAGGTAGTTGATTCAGAAGCATTTTTAAAGGGTATTATTAATTTGTAAAAGCATCTGGTTTCCAAGTTAGAGCCACGTTTGGAGCCCAACTTTCTCTGCATACACCTGGACTTTGGCCAACTGTGTGATTTCTCTAAATCTCATTTTTTTCCATCTGTGAGATTAAACAGTACACATTTAGTGAGTAGTTATATGGTTTAGACTCTTTTTTTTTAATTTTAGAAAAATCTAGTTTCTTTTTCCTCTTTCTTTTTTGACATGATTTCTCTGTATAACAGTCCTGGCTGTCCCAGAATGTTCTTTGTAGACCAGGTTGGCCTTGAACTCAGAGATTTGCCTGCCTTTGCTTTCCATGTGCTGTACCACCACTAGAAAACCTTGTTTATTTTCCTTGTGCTTTCTATTCCCCACTATGGTGATATTTTATTTTGTACTAAAATGTTATTTGTATGTTAATAAATAAAGTTGCCCAGAGGGTCAGAGCTATTAGCAAGCCATAGGAAAGCTGGGCAGTGGTGGTGCATGCCTTTAACCCCAGCACTTGGTAGGCAGAGCTAGGCGGATCTCTGTGTGTTCAGGGATACAGCCAGCATTGGAGACACACACCTTTAATCTCAATACCAACCATAGAAGACCTGGAGGTCTGTACAGACAGGCAGTGACGAGGCAGTCATGTGGTTGGGTTTACAACCAATGAAAAGGCAGAACTGAAAGTCTTTATAAAGACTTTAACACAGGAAGTAGCTCTCCTTCGGAGAGGTATGACCACCGCAGGAGGAAGGGTAAGGTTTTAGCTCTTAGCTCTGACCTCTTGGCTTTCTTCTTTGCATTGGTTCTGTGTTTCTTATTTAATAAGACAGTTGGTTATATCTACACCCCACCATGAACAAAGTTTCTTATATATACTGGTTCATGGTCCTTCTCACTGAATTTCTTTAAGGATCCCTCCTTCCATAAGACCTAAGATTGGGCTCTGCTTTGTGACAGTGACAGAGCACATGTCTAGTTTTCTTCTTTTCTCCCCACTGGATTTGTAGATGACATAACACTCCCTGAGATGACACATAATCTCCCTTTCATTGTTGGCTTACTTACAGTTCTATTCTCCCAACCTCAGATAGTGCCTGGCACTGAAATCCTTGCTAAAAGAATGAGAAATGTGGGCCACCGAGACGGCTCAGTGGATAAAATGCTTGCTCCCTAGGTCACAGTTCAAATGCTGGGACGCACAAAAAGATGGAGAGAACCTATTCTACAAACCTGTCCTCTGGACTCCATACATGTGCTGTGGCACACATGCCCACACACATCACACACTCATACAGAGCTGAAAATGAAATGAACAGCATATTGAGATGCTCCCCTAGAGGGTAGCACATACTCACCAACAGCAACAGAAATAAATACCTCGAGTACATGCTTCACCACTGCATCTGTAGTTCCGAACAGGTCAACCCCAGTTATTCCTCTCACATCTGACTCCACAGCACCAGGAGACAAATTTTTTTTCCTTAGACCTTTGGAGGGTTAAGGAGTGGGATGAAAGATGCAAATATAATGTCATAAGAGCAAAGTAGCAGAACCACATAAAGGTATACTGAAAGACTAAGATAAAATGAAACAGTGGCAAATACACATGGGAGGAGGAAAGGTGCTCATAAGAATCTACCTATGTATACACTAGCTCCTTCCTTAACTCTTAGAAGACCCCCTACTGGGAGCCAACCCAAATTTCCAACACAACTCAATTCATTAAATCTCAACTCAAAGGGCTGTCTGTCTATTTCAGATTAATAGTACTTTCCATTCTTCAATCTTCCCCAAACGTGGCCTCAAATGGTAATTATTAAATGTCTACTTTCCCATCATCTTAAATTTTTTGTTTTTACTTTTTAAAAAAAAATGTATTTTATTATTTGATGAGTATGGGTGTTTGCCTGCATGTACATCTGTGCACCACCTGCATGTCCAGTGCCCTCAGAGGCCAGAAGAAGGCTACAGATCCCCTGGAATTGAAGTTATAGATCTTTGTAAGCTGCCAATTGGGTGCTGGGAATTGAACCCTCAGGTCCTTTGGAAGAGTGGTCAGTGCTCTTAACCACTGAGCCATATCTCCAATTCTCATGATAAAAGCAATGTAAAGAAATACCCCGGGGGAGATCGCATTTCAGTGTTTTCCAAACTGAAAGCAAGTACAGAAACGTTGCAGATGCATCGCAGGACTACACATATTAAAACTGCTATCTAGTATGGAAGAACTATTACAAATACTGTGAGAAGATACAGCAATAAGGTACTAGCAAAAAGTATACTCACACTTGCCCCTTGGACAGGACACCAAATAATTAAAACTGTTATGATTTTTCATGTTCTTGCATAAAAGGCTACTTATAGATATAAACATATGTATTTTTCCATTAAAACCTATAGATGCTAGTTTCACTGGGAGAATTATTTTTTGTTGATAATTTTTTTATTGTTTTGTTTTGTTTGTTTTTCGAGACAGGGTTTCACTGTATAGCCCTGGATCTCCTGGATCTCACTCTGCATACCAAGCTGGCCTCAAACTCACAGAGATCCACCTGCCTCTGCCTCCTGAATGTTGGGATTAAAGGTATGAGCTGCCACCGCATGGCTGATAATTTTTAAATGATAGGCAAAAGACACCAGGATAAGAAGTGTCTTATTTGTGGATGAGCCATGTTTATGATTCATCTACACATCTTTAAAGGATGACTACTTGAAGTAAGATGTGGTAGCTTATACATGCAATTTTAGCACAGGAGGTAGAGACAGGAGGACTGCCACAAGTTGAGCCTGGGCTACGTAGTAAGTTTGAGGCTAGCTTGGGCTACTGGGCAAAGCCCCATTTCAAAAAGCAGGGAGGGGTGGGGGAAGGCTGACTACTTGTGTTAAAACCAGAACCAAAATTACAGTATAAAGTACCAGTATCAGATTTAATTCTGATAACAACCCTTAGAGATAGGTAATACATGTATATCATACCAAATTATATATAACAAAACAAAATTGGGATGAAAATCCTTTTAAAATATTTGGGAGAAAAAATGGTAAGATAAAGTTACCTAACACTTATTAAACTTTCTAAACAGACACTATTTTAAAACAGGGAATAGAGGCCTAGAGAGATGGTTCAGTGGTTAAAAGCACTGGCTGCTCTTCCAAAGGTCCTGAGTTCAATTTCCAGCAATCACATGGCAGTTCACAGCCATCTCTAGTGGGATCTGATGCCCTCTTTTGGCATGCAGGCATACATGCAGACGGAGCACTCATAGATAAACAGGGACTAAGTAAAACATATGATTGTAAATAAAACCTAAGATGCTTCAGACTAAAATGTGGCATCTGCGGAGAAAGAAAAAAAAGGTTAAAATTGAACTTACACCATTGTTGTAAACTACACTGTATTTCTTCTGTTAGGATTGTACCTAACTTCAGCATTGGAGGAGCAGTTTACATTAGTTAATGCCTAACTCAAGAGAATCCTTGTAGGTATGAGGAAAAAAGAAGCACTCTCCTCAAGCTTCACAAATACATGATCACAAGTATGTCCTTTACTTATTTCATTTGTCCCTTTAACAGGATCTGTCACCTTTTTCTAATGAGGCTAGTTTATGAAACAGGTTCAAAGAAAGATACAAAAGCAGACAGCTGTGAGGAATTTCACCTCCAATAAGCTTCAACAAACACATTAAAAAGAAAGCTGTACGACAGAATTGAAGCCTTTGTTGCACTTGCCTGCAATGATCCAGGAAAAGGGGAAGGGCGAAACAGATGAATAGTGACAGGCAGTGAAAAGATACTTAGAGAAGAAATACTTGAGCCTTCAACAAGCCAGTCACTAAGACTGAGCGACAGATGGAAAATTTCTACAGCAGCTACCCAAATCCAGAGGGAGAAGAGAACACTCTCAGAATGGACCAGTTATTGTATGCCTCCCAGTGGGAACCAGAGGAAGCAGGAAAGAGAGAAGGATGAGAAAAGGATTTGGCAGCATATTAATATATTTTAGTGGATATTTCAAAGAGTGAGCCTGAATTACATGGGCTTGACATGCAAAGATGTAAGCATATTAAAATAATTTAACTGACAGTTTACTTGGAAGCACAAGTTAAGACAGTAACCCATCTTCCACAACTAGTTTTTAAAACTCTTCCCCTAAAAACAAATGACTTTTGCCAGGCTAACAGAATATTCAGGTTACAGTAAGCTCCAGGGGTTAAATCCACATGGGAGAGGTGTTAAGGGATTGCTTTGCCTTTAAAGAGTTCTACATTCTCTTGTTGCTATCCACTAACTTAGAGTGCTCTTTCCAAGAGAGCCAAAATAATCAGAAATGTCACAGTCCCCTAAATTTGGAAGCACTCAGTCCTTTATTCAGAAGGTGCTTTCCTGTCTTGGAAATATTATTGTCAGTCCCTAAGAGATCAGAAAGCTGTTTTCTCTTACTGTGTTCAGACTTACCTGAACTAAAGCAAAATGAAATTCTGAAGAGTATGCTAATTTTGAAGACAGGAAGATGTAAGTGTGAAAAGCCTAACCCAATGCTCTTCCACTTATTTAAATACCAAAGCATCTCAAAGGGATTACTTTAAGTCAACAGAGTCAGCAGAGAAATGATAAAGAGCATTCACATTAGTATAGCAAGTTAGCACAATATTCTCACTATAACATTTACCAATTACAGCAATTGCAATACCACATAGCAACCCATGCAATTCACACATTCAAGAGCAACACAAAACCCACTAAGGTCATACTCTCCCTCACTCCTCTAATCTAAGGTCCTTAATTTTGATGTAAACATGTTTTCTGCCTGTAAAAAGTGAAGAAAATACTTCTTGCCCTGGGCATTTCACGGTCACAAATGTGACCTAGTCACTTTACTTGCCCAAATTGCTTATTTTAATTAACAGATTTATAAATATATTTCCGTAATCACTTTAGCTAGACCACAGGGAACATTCTGTGCTAGCAGCAGGTGGCACAAGTGGTTCTTTCAGAGTGGAGCAGCATAAGGGTTGGACATTCTCAACCAATGTTTTAGGGATGAACCCCTGATGCCTAAAGACAACAGTTTGGGAATGAAATCAACGTATGCTCTAGGATAGAATTAGCTGTACACCGTTCCTGGGAGAACTGAGAAAAGTCACTCAAGATACTTCCTCTAGGGGCTGGAGAGATGGCTCAGCAGTTAAGAGCACTGACTGCTCTTCCAGAGGACCTGAGTTCAGTTCACAGCAACCACACAGCAGCTCACAAGTGTCTGTACACAGACATATGTGCAGGCAAAACACCAATGCACATAAAATAAAAATAAATAAAAAAAAAAAAAAGATACTTCCTCTAGCACCTTTCTCACAGAACTCAAACTGTTCTACATAACTTTCCCTGATCAGCGGGGACAGCATGAGCTGGGAGCCAACCTCATTAGGGACATATATCCTGAGAGAGGGTGTCTTGAATGTGTGCGAGGAGAAACCCTTTGGAAAGCCACAGCTGGGTTACTGCAGAGTTAATGCTAAGCTCCCCAGCACTGGCAGTGAGGAGAGGGCACAGGCTCACAGTGCCTGTACTGAGCTCCTCCTGTCGGCACAGCTGGTCACATCTGGGTGTACTTCAAATAGCCTAGTCAGTCTGACAGAAAACTGCAATGGCAAAGCCCTAGAGGATGAACATAACTGCCCTATCTCCAAAACAGTCTTGTTTACACCACTGTCTTGCAATTCTAAGCTATTGAAAACTGCAGAGACAGCATGGTACAATGACCCCACTCTCCAACTGCCCACCTCTCTCCTTGACTTGTTTTTTCCCCTTTTGGTTTTGTTGAGACAGGGTCTCATGTAGCCCAGGCTGGCCTTGAACTCATTATTTAGTCAAGAATGACTTTGAATTCCTGATCCTCCTGTTTCTACCTCCCAAGTGCTGGGATTACAGCATGCATTTTCCTTGGTATAATACATAAATTGTAATTGCTACTAATATGTTCCAAATGTTGTATTCCAGAATCTGTTCTTTTCCCTTGCTATTCACTAATGGTTTATAAAAACAGCGACTACTAAATGGTCCTAGACCAGCACTGTCAGAGAGAAGCTGGGTGTTTACCACTTTAGTTGTATAAAGAGAAAGCTAACTCCTTTACTTCCATAGAGAAGCAGGTAAGGAACCACAAGGGCCTTCCTGTTTTGGGAAGAAACATTGTTTTGCAGTCTCATGACTTTCCTAAGAACTCAATCACTTAGAATAGAAGTGTCAAAAAAAGATAATTCAGTGAGTTTTTGTTTTTGGTTTTAATGTAACGGGGTAGCGCAGCACAGCATTTAGTCTCAGTTCCCTATTCCAGCATGAAGCCCCTCCACACATGCCGTAGATAGAATCTTCTCTCAGTATTTAAATTCTCTGTGTGGCAACATTTTAGATCTCTGTATGACATTAAACTTTCAATCTTTATCCCAAAAATCATTATGTATAAATTATGACAGGAGGAATTGGCCTAATTATCCAAAGCTCTTAGAAAGCTCATTGAATAAAAAATTTGCCAATTCCTTCCCTCTCTCTGTTCCTCACTATAGAAAAAATCTAATAGGGAGACATTTCTATTTATAAATAAGACAACAGGGTTCACAAATCCTGTTGTTTATTTGCATATTCTCATTTTTCTTTTCTTCTTTTTTTTATAAAATGTGTATCTTATTTGAGGGGAAAGCTTGGTTCTTAATCATCTTAATTTAGATGTACATATTTTAATGAAAATCTGAGCTAACTAAAGAAATCAAATTAGCTGCGTAGAGTAAGCCACTTTCACAGGAAATACTGCTAACATGAAGAACATCAAAGCAGATTCAATACCTTCAAAAACAAAGATAATACGCAGGAATGGAATATTCTGAATTTTGTTGTTCTAAGCCAAATACCCTGGCTGTTTTAAGCAATTGCAGTTTTGCGCCAGACATGACTAGATTGTCCCCTGAACTTGGGCAGCTCACCAGAAATATCCCAAACGCGAACAGTCTGGTCCAGGCTAGCTGACACCACCAGGTCCTCAGAGGGGTGGAACTGAGCACACATTACATAATGGTTGTGTCCCGTTAACACACTGCAAAGAAAAAACATGAAATTAAAGGGAGAAGTCAACAGGCTCCTAAGCTAAACACCTTTCTTCATAGTCAATGGATGCTTTTCTGATCATATTTCTGTGGCAGCAAAGTAAGTCATCCTAACAATTCTGAACTAGTAATAAGCAAGCCACCTGTGCAAACAACCGTTCTTTTTTTGTTTGTCTGTCTGTCTGTTTGTTCTGGTGGTTCTTTCAATCCCGAGTGCTGGGATTAAAGGCGTGTTCAGCTAATAGCTCTTTTTGAAAAATATATCTTTTTTTTGGCCAGGCATTGGAGGCACACGCCTTTGATCCAAGCCAGGAGGCAGAGGCAGGCAGGTCTCTAAGTTTGAGACCAGCATGGTCTACAGAGTGAGTTCTAGGACAGTCAGGGCTACACAGAGAGACCCTGTCTCGAAAAACCAAACAAACAAAAACAAAAACAAAAAAACATAAACAGACAAAAAAAAATTTTTTTTAAATTAATATTATTTTCTTATTAGGGAGCAGCAGCAGTGGGTGCCACATGGAGTCAGTTCTCTCCTTCCATCTTTATATGGGCCAAACTCTGTCACCAGGCTTCTGTGGCAACTCTTTGCCTACTCCAACAGTTCTCTTTTCTGACACTAATTGTTTAATATTTAAATATTACTGATTTCATGGAACTGAGATTACATAACTCTCAGATTAAAGACTTATGAAGATATGAAAATAAATGCAATCTTAGTCCAAACACTAAGTAAGATTCATTGTCTATATCCCAACTCAAGCTTTATGAGAATAGAACTGAAAAGGAACTAAACCTTCTACTCCAAAAGCCTAGTTATATGACCTACCTTCTTGTTATCACAAATCCAGTCTGATATTATTATATTTAAAAGAATCCTACAAATATGATCAGTAATTAATCAGCAGACATGGCCTGAGAAGTGGCTGATTATAAATACTTAGAAAGAATTAAAACCCTTTTTTGAGGCTACTGCCTCTTGGTTTACCAGACACAGGTTCTAGACTGCCAGTTCCACACTCGAATGGTCTGGTCATCTGAGGCACTCAGAATCCAAGGATATTCCTGAAAGACATTTCAGATAGGGCTCTAAACAATTTTGTTCTGTCAGGCCAGAGCCTTGTGCATGCTTGACAAGTATTCTATTACTGAGTTACATCCCCAGCCCTTGTTTTTTTCAGACAGGGTCTCACTATGTAGTTTAGGCTAGCCTTAAACTATGTAGCCACAAGTGCCCAGCTTCTTATTCATAGTTGTAGCTCTAGTTTTTAGTAAAGAGACATATACATACTTTCAACCTTTCTATGTGGCCTTGGCTCTTCTGGAACTCACAATGTAGATCATGTTGGCCTCATAGAGATCCGCCTGCCTTTGCCTCCCATGTGCTGGGAGGCATGCCTTTAATGCTAATCCCAGCACTTGAGAGGAAAAGGCAGGTGGATCTCTTTGAGTTTGAAGTCAGCATGGTCTACATTGTGAGTTCCAAGACAGCCAGAACAACATAGTGAGACCCTGTTTCAAAAAACAAAACAAAACAAAATCCATGTCCCTAATCCCTACCCAACACCTTTAATTTTTTAAGGAAATAAGTAAATCAATCAGTAAATACTTGCTTACTTGAATTATAGCACTGAATTATAAAGAGATCTTAGACATGACGGGATTAGACTAAGAGGCCAGGCATCTCTATAACTCACTCCCTAATCTACTATCAAACCAACAAATGGCAAGGCATGGTGGCTCTCACCTTTAACTCCAGCACTTGGGAGACAGAAGCCAGTGGGTCCCTGAGTTAAGGGCCAACCTGTCTATATAGTGAGTTCCAGGGCAGAGAGGGCTACATAAAAGCCCATGACTTGAGAGAGAGAGAGAGAGAGAGAGAGAGAGAGAGAGAGAGAGAGAGAGACTTGAGAGAGAGACTTGAGAGAGAGAGAGAGAGAGAGACTTGAGAGATTAAAGAAGGAAGAGGAAGAGAGCCTGAGCCTGGCTAAGGAAACAGGTTCTACCAGATCCTCAAATCCATGGACAGAGGAACCTAATTGTTAATACTTCAAAATGTTTATTAGTTCATCCAAATGGTGTCTTACTTTAACCTTCTGGGCCTATCTAATGCTTAATAACAGCACCACACATGGGATCAGCCTTCTCACTTTTATTTGACAGATCAGCGAACAAAATAAAATCCCTACATTTCTCTACAGAAAAGCAATGACTTCCTCTTAGAGCCCACTGGATTCAATTAAACTGAGTATAACCTCAGTTGTCTATCTCTGTCTCCCTAGCACTGGTACTACAACTCTGCGCTACTACACTTGGCTTTTTTTAAATTTTTATTTCTTTTATGAATGTTTTGTCTGCATGTATATCTGTTTACCACATATATGCCTGGTGCCTGTGAAGGTCAGAAGAGGGCATCGGATTCCCTGGAACTGGAATCACAGGTGGTTGTGAGCCACCATGTGAGTGCTGGGAATTGAACCTTGGTCCTCTGCAAGAGCAGCCAATGTTCTTAACCATCTCTCCAGCCTCCATGCTTGGCTTTTTACATGGGTGCTGGGGATTGAACTCATATCCCTATGTTAGTGAGGAAGCACTTACCAACTGAACTACCCCCTCAACCCTAAAGCATGGTCTCCTGAGGCTACAGAGACTACTGCTGGGGACAGAGCTCAATGGCAGAGCATTTTGCTGGTATTCACAAGGCACTAGGTCCAATGCCCAGCATGGCAAAAAACAAACAAAAGGAAGGAAGGAAGGAAGGAAGGAAGGAAGGAAGGAA